GATAAAGAATGCAATTAAACTTCAGAACACCAAACCAAATACCTCTGTTCCTAGCTTCAGTAAAAGACAAACATAAAAAGACTGAAGACGCAATCAGAAAGAATAGAAACTTAAACGTTCAAGAAACGTCAGAGGTGTTTTTAGACTAGCTAGTCTTAATCCTGCCCTAAGCCCAGAGATTCTGACTTCGCTTATGGACTCATAAGGGGCATGGAAATCCTTTTTTTTTTTTTTTTTTTTTAAAGATATTGAAAAGTCCCTGATGATCAGTGAGGAGTGAAAGACGCTACCTTAAAGTGTTTTCAAATGCATATGAACCGGGCAGGCACCAGGGCTGGCGCGCCTCTTGCAGAGCAGCACTCAGCTGGGGCCCCAGGAACAGTGACCCGTCCCGGAGGCCTCAGCACAGGCGCAGCGGCGGGCGCAGGGCAGGTCAGCGCTCACCTTCTCCACGTGCAGCCGGGACAGGAGCACCGGGCTGCTGGACTGCGGGCTCTTGTTGTACGACGGGCAGTACCGGTCCGGGTCCCTCCACTCTGGGAGCCGCCGCTGGCCCTGCCGGTCCCGGTAGGCGCAGGCCCGGGCGAGGACCTCCTTGGACAGGTGGCAGGACGTCCGCCCGCACATCCTCGGCGCTGCGAACACCTCGGTCCTGGACGCGAGGACGGGGTTCCAGCGCCTCACACGCGGGTCTCGGGCCTCCGCCCCCAGGGTCTCCCTCCGCGCTCCGCCCCGCCCCACCCTACCCCCACCCCAGGCCCGTGCGCCGGGCTCACAGGGCCACCTCCCGCCACGCGGCCCGGCCGGGCGAGGAAAGGAAGCTTCTCAGCCGGGGGCTCCCCCTGCCTAGCCGGCCCCGGCCTCCCCAGCTCCACCCCGCTCCCTCCGGGACCGCGGACCCTGAGGGCCGCGCCCCACCCCCACCCCCGCCGCCCGTCCGGTCTCACTTCCCCCTCAGGCCCGCCGCCCTCCCATCCCGCCTCGGCTCCGCTCACCCCCGCTCAGCCCCCGTCCGTCCCACTTCGCCTCCCCCTCAGACCCGCCTGCCCGTCCGCCTTCCCCCACCTCACCTCCACCTCAGACCCAGCGGCCGCGTCGCTCTCCGCGCGACCGCGCTCCCCGCACCAGGCCCCGCCCCCAGCAGGCCGGCCCCGCCTCCCAGCGGCCGGCGGTTCCGCCTAGCGCCGGGGCGTCTTCCCCTCCCGCATCTTGCGGAGTTGGGACTGCGAAACCTGACTCTCCTGAAGGAGCCCGAGCAGGAGCCCCTGATTGTCTCGGGGACTCGTCCTCCGTGTGGGCCGTTCCCCTGCGGGGTTAACTCCCTCCCAGGGCGAACCTCGGGAATGGGCCGGGAAGGGTCCCGAGGGTGCAGGCTGGCAGAGACCCTAGATGCGACCCGGAGGCCTACAGCCCCTTCTCCGTACAGCGGGAACCACGACTCCAGGGCACCAGGTTCTCGTAGGGGTGAAATCGGGAAATTTTCTTTACTTCGCAGCCCTACTAACGGCCCATAGTTTCGGGTAAAAATTGAAAAACCATCAGGAAAACTGCCATGGATCACGCAAGTCACTCTGAAACTTCGGTGGGCACCAGAACACTTTCCAAGGCCCCACATTTCCCCCACCCCCAAACCTGAATCTCTAAGGGTTCAGGCCTATGTTTTTTAAAACTAGGCTTTACAGGTGTATTTCAGCCACAAAATTGGCAAAACACCTGGCTTGTGTTTAAAAGCCCAGCAGAGGAAACCAGGGACTTCTGCTCTGTAAGGGCTGTTCCTCCGGCCGAAGTGCAACGGCCACCTCAGACCTGGCACTAGGCAACAGCCGGGTAATCCACCCAGACCCTCCGGCCTCACTGATCTCCTACAAAAGGAGGGTGGTTTAAGGGCAAAGACTCAACGCCTGCCAGCTGCTGTCATTCCCTCAGCAAACCTGCACCGCTCCTGCCCCTGGGCATGGGGCTCGGGCAGGGGCCAGCGAGAGGGTCCTGCCTCATGCTAAGTACAGTGGCAAAGGGCTGCAGGTGCAAACGGGACGCAGAGGTGTCCTTGGGGGTAGGGAAGCCGGACCCCTAAGCACGAGTCTGCAGAAGTAGCAGTCATTCAATAAATACATGCTGATTTTATTTATAGGGATAAGATGGTTCCTTAGGGGATCAATTCAAGAGGTGGTACAAGCATTTTATTCATTTGAGATGTCCCTTCCCTGGCAGGCAAGGCAGCAAATTCTAGGACAAGCTAAAACCACCCCCCTCTTTCAAAAGTTACCCTCAGCAGGGAGTTTTGGGGCAGGGGTTAAATTAAAAAAAAAAAACAAAAAACAAAAAAACCCTCATTGATTCCTAATTGTTTTTGAATACAATTGGCTTGGAAAGGACTTTCCACTGGGTTCATAAGGAAGGCCTGACTTCTGCACAGTGTTGGGGGGAAAGGGTAGGACTTGGTCCTATGCAGGCTGGCCTCTTAGCCCACAGACGCCAACACGATGTCCACTGGCAGCTCCTCCGAACTTCTGGCTGTCACCTGCATTGTTACTGTGTCCAAAAGCAGCAGCCGGGAGCGCACCAGGATGTCATGACCCCCCCGGAATACGCCTGGAAGAGAAGAGAAAAGGACAGGTGTGTAAGGCAGAAGGGGGCTGAGAGCTGGGCTGAGAGGGCCACCTGCAACAACTGGCGAAGGCAGCTCTGGGGCTTGAGATGGGAGGGGCCCGCAACCAGAAGCACTGGCTGAAATCCCTGCGTGAGGCCCTGGGCACGTCACTTTACCTCTTGAGCTGCAGCATCATCAATGATCTCAGTAGAGATCACTCTACTAGCCGTATTTCACGCTTCAGCCAAGCTAAAATGGATTAGTGGACACATATGGCTTGTGTCTGACATCACAGGGGCGCTCACACACGCTAACGGAATCTAAGAGCACAGACGAAGGGACAGCCCCACCATGACAAAACCACAGCGCAGGTGTCTGCAAAACCCGGGGGACTGGGTTGCTTCACTGTGGTCAGAAATGATGGGCTTGGGGGCTGTCAGCTGTGAGCAGGGCACTGAAGCAGAACTACTTCCTAACCCTGTTTATAAACACTCAGAAAAAAAAATTTCCTTTCGTTCATTGTTTTAGGTGTGATAAGTGTATTGCCTCCCTTTTAAACAAAGGGTCATTAGCTTTTAGAGAAGCATACAGATCAGAAACATTTACATATGAAATGTCTATATATGGAGTTTGCTCTAAAATAATCTGGGGGTGGAGAATGAGTATAGGTAGAGACACTATCTGTTGTTGTAGATGGAGGATGAGTACTTGGGGGGTCCCATTTTTGTGTAAATTTGAAAATTTCCTAAGTGCTTAAAATCCCACTCCTATTAGAAAAGACCAACCAGCCCAATAGAAAATTAGACAAAGGATCTGAAAACAATTCACAGAAAAGGAAATACAAATGGCACTTTGCATTTGAGAAGATACTTAACTTCCTTCAATATACAAGAAATGTAAAGTAAAACTATGTGGAGGGTTTCCCTGGTGGCGCAGTGGTTAAGAATCCGCCTGACAATGCTAGGGGACACGGGTTCGAGCCCTGGTCCGGGAAGATCCCACATGCCACGGAGCAACTAAGCCCGTGCGCCACAACTACTGAGCCTGTGCTCTAGAGCCTGCCAGCCACAACTACTGAAGCCCGCGTGCCTAGAGCCCGTGCTCCGCAATAAGAAGCCACCGCAACGAGAAGCCCACACACTGCAACGAAGAGTAGCCCCCGCTCGCCGCAACTAGAGAAAGACTGCGTGCAGCAGCGAAGACCCAACACAGCCAAAAATAAATAAATAAATATATTAAAAAAAAAAAAAAGACTAGGACAATCTAAATGTTCATCAATACATGAACTGGTTCTACAAAATATGGTCCATCCATAGAATGGAATAGTACTCAACTACAAGAAAGACTGAGCACACAGTTTGGGATGATGAGAAAGTTCTGGAGTTGGATGGTGTGATAGGTGCACAACAATGTGAATGTACTTAACGCCACTGAACTGTGCACCTAAATATGGTTAAAATGGTCAATTTCATGTTATGTTAAAAAAAAAAAAAAAAAAAGGAGGAAGCTCTGAGTATCGATAAGGAAGTTCTCCAAGATGCACCGTCAAGTGAAAAACCAAGTGCAGAACAACATATACACCACCTGTATGTAAACATTTGAGTTTAAAAAGGGAAATGCGTACACATTTGCTTTACATCCCTATGATCACAGGAAGGATACACAGCATCCTTTATAATATAACACTGGTTGCCTGGTGGAAGGGAAACTGAATGACTGGCAGCAAGTTTTGGGAGGGAGACATTTCGCTGCAGGTCTCTTTATGCCCTGTGAACATTCAACGCCGTGAATTCTGAATTCCCAGGTTCCCAGGGGGCGCCCTCAGCCCAGGATGCGGTGGCATCAAGGCCCTTCCCACCAGAAATGCCGCTTACCTGCCAGGAGCAGCGTGTGCGTGTTCTTGTTATCTGGCACTTTGTCTGACCTCTCACAAGGGTGCATTCCTAAGAACTTCACAATATTGCCCACAGCCTCTGTGGGGAGAAATCCCGGTGTTATTAACCCACGATCTCCCCCTGGCGCCACCACCACTCCCCCACCCCCTGACCCCACTCTGCAGTTTTTAATGAAGTGGCATCTGAAGTACGTGCTCTAGACATGGCCCTGGATCTTTGGGGACTTGGGGGCAGGGGACGGGGGGAGCTCTTCAACAGTAGCCAAGGATCTTGTAAGGCAAGCAAGCCGGAAATGGCATCCCCAGGATTTACCTTCAAGTGTCTTGATGGTGGACAAGGTGAATGTTTCCTCCTTCTCAAACTCATCCCCTACCTCATCCCAGGCTGCTTCAAAGTTCAGCTTCATGACCTTTTGGATGTGATCAGCTATCGTGACTTCCAGATCTTCCAGCTGGGGAGATGCAGGGGCGCGTTAGGCACACAGCTCTAGGGGAGAGACACCTCCGAGCCTCTACTCCACTCTGGCCACCCGCCCCTTCCCACCACGCAGCCACAGGTGCTCACAGCCAAGTGGTGGCCCCTCAGCAGAAAACGCCTCACCCGTTTACAGCCACCCCTCAGTATCTGTGGGGACTGGTTCCAGGACCCCCTCGGATACCAAAATCGCAGATTCTCAAGTCCTTTATATAAAATGCTGCAGTATTTGCATTTAACCTACACACATCCTCCCTTATACTTTGAATCACCTCTAGGTTACTTATAATACCTGATACAATGTAAATGTTATGTAAATAGTTGTAAGTACAATGCAAACACTATGGAAATAGTTGCCTTGTGTGGAAAACTCAAGTTTTGCTTTTTGGAATTTTCTGGAACACCCCCACCCCAATTCTGAATACTTTCTATCTGTTGGTTGAACACATGGAGGCAGAACCGACAGATACGGAGGGCCCACTGTCCTCATCCCCGGGTGGCAGCTATGAGAACACATCACTCTGAAGCCTAGGGTAAGTGCCAGACTGGACGGGAGGGAGGCCTGCATCCTGTGACTCAGTCGTGTCCTCCCTGGGGCCGACACGTCGTACTGCCCCCCCCCCGCCTTGAACTAACTGTACATAAAGGTTCCCCATTCATTTACCCAACAGCTCTTCACTGAGCCCCTACCCCTGTGCACGTGTAAGGTGTTCACAAGCAGGACTCAGCTCCTACGGTAGAAGCTATGCCTCAGACCCAGCCCTCCTGTCCTGGGGCAGTTCCCGCCCTTAGGTCATTGCTGGCTCAGGGAAGGCCCATCCTCAACAATGGACCTGGGAGGACATAAGTGACCATCAGCTGTTATTCAGTGACTGCCCCTCTGGACATGAGGGCTCTGATAATCTCCATCCCAGGTTTAGTATCAGGGTCTGCACTCAGATGGCACTGAGCCACTGTGACCGGGGCAAACCCCAGAACAACCCTGCACTCAGTTCCATGCAAGCTCTGAGAGCTGGAACTGGAAGGGACGTTTCAGTGCATGAAAGGACTGCCCAGCAGATGCAAACTGATCCAATTTCTCTAGAAAGCAATTTGACAGTATGAATCAAAGTCCTTTTTTTTTCTTTTGGCTGTGTTGGGTCTTCACTGCTGTGCATGAGGTTTCTCTAGTTGCGGCGAGCGGGGGCTACTCTTCATTGTGGTACACAGGCTTCTCATCGCGGTGGCTTCTCTTGTTGCGAAGCATGGGCTCTAGGGCACACGGGCTCTAGAGCAAAGGCACGGGCTTAGTTCCTCCGCGGCATGTGGGATCATCCCGGACCAGGGCTTGAACCCGTGTCCTCTGCATTGGCAGGCGGATTCTTAACCACTGCGCCACCAGGGAAGTCCCTCAAAAAAGTCTTAAAATCAGACTTAGCCTTTGACCTAATTATTCTACTTCTAGGAATCTGTCCTAAGAAGATAACTTGAAATGCAGACAAAAATTTCTACCCAAAGGGATGCTTAATGTAGCATTTAAAAAGTGAAAATTTGGGAACTCCCTGGTAGTCCAGAGGTTAGGACTCCACGCTTCCACTGCTAAGGGCCCAGGTTCAATGCCTGGTTGGGGTACTAAGATCCCACAAGCTGTGCAGTACGGCTAAACATTTTTTTTTAAAAAGTGAAAATTTGGAATCACAAATGCCAAGTGTTTAAGGAACACAAGGTCAAGTGAGTTAGGATATATTAAGATAAGGGAGTATCTTAAAGTCATTAAAAATTGTGTTCATGAAGTATTTGTAATGGCAGGAAAATACACTCTGGTTCTAAGTGAGCACAGCAAGATCTGTAATGTACAGAATAACCACAATGATACAACTGCCCCCGCCCCCCCCAGTCATTCCCAAGGACTATGGGTAATGTTTTCCTGTTTGTGTATACTTTTTGTATTTCCCAAGTTTTCTTTTTACACACGAACATGTATTTTTTTTTTAAGTTTTAAAAAAAAATTCTTTCAAAACCAAAACCAGCAAGAAAATGCTTCAAGACTGGCTGTCAGCTCCTGAAGCCTCCTTGCCCCAGCGTCTTACCACATACTCATCCTCATAGCCTTCGTCGTCGGTCTCCCCGGTAGTGGGATCGCAGTCCTTGACAGTGAACTTCATCATGCAGCTGAACGTGCAGCCCACTGCGGGGAGGGAAGGCCGGGCAGTTGGGCGAGGTCCTCTGTGGGCGCGTGGCCACAGCCTGCCCTTTAGGCCTCAGCTGCGTCTGCACTAGCAGCACATGCCACCCGGCCCCACAAATCTGGACAGAGGGCACCGGCTTGTAGAAGGCAGGAGAGCCAGGTTGCAGCCCCCAGGAGTTGCCCTCACAGGGAAGGAAGAGAGAGGAATGCAGAGATGCTGCAGGGTGGCTCCTGCAAAAAGCACCTGGTTTCTTTGGTTGGAGTGGACCTGGGACGGTCCATGTTTGTGCCTGTCTCTGGGCCTTCCTCTGTGCTCTCTCCTGGTACAATGAGAGAGTCCTGGTTTGAGGACCAGGCGTCCTACCAGCCATGTGAACTCAGACAAGCCATTTGACCCGAGTCTTACTTCCCTGCTCCCCAGGGGTCTATGAGGAGGAAGTGAGCGGATGTGTGAAAAGCCCCAGGACTCAGCCATCCTTCTCTTCTTCTGGGGACTGACCTCAAGGAGCTGAAGCTCTGACAGGAAACAAACAGCTGGTGCACAAGCCACCCCCCGCCAGGGGCTCCCACAAGGCCAGGGGGGCATCTGCAGAGGGGCTCACCTGCCGTGGGGTCTTCCTTGGGCAGGGCCACCAGCGTGTAGCAGGTGCCGGGCTGATTGTAGGGCAGGCTCCGGGCGGGCACGTAACACAGCACCTCGTAGGCCTCCGTGGGCTCCATCTGCACTGTGACGTTCTCCAGAGTCTGGTCGTTGAGCGTGTTCGTGCAGTCAAACTGGACCGGGGAGCGGGGCGGGCGTGGGCGCTGAGACACTGCCCTGGACCTAAGCCTGCTGCACAGGAGCAGCCAGAAGGTCCTGCCTCTCACCCGAGGGCCACGCCGACGCCCATCCCAGGCCCCCGTCCCAGGCCCCGTGTCTGCACATGGACACTCAGGAGCCACCGAGGCCCTGCATCAAGGACTCGAGGGACACAGCAGCTGGTCGTGGATCTGGCATCGGGCTGGGCTCCAAGCACCAGTGTGGGGTGCCAGGGCCCTGCGGGAGGGCCTCCCCCCGGCTCACCTGGAAGACCATGTGCTCAGGGAAGGTGTGCTTGGTGCAGCGGATCACGTACTCTGTCTCCGACTCAGTGAGGGCCACGGGCTCAGGCGAGGACTTGAAGAGGGGCCCCAGCCCCTGGAACTCGGGCACTGCCGCCAGCTGCTCTGAAACCCCCAGGCCACACGCTCACTCAGCTGCTCAATCCTCAGGCCTGGTCCTCAAGCTCTCCCACCCACTGAAGTGGTCACTCCCGATTTCCCGAACAAACCCGAGCATTTCCTCACCTCCCTCACTGCTCGGCTTGTGCCACCCACATGAAACACCCCGCCCCGCTGTCCCACACAAGACGCCAGAGCAACCAGTGGACATCAGGCCCAACGTCCCAGGCCTAAGCCATTTGGAGACTCCCTCAACCTTAGAAGCTCAGCAAGGATTCTTAAAAGGGGGACTGGGAAAAGGCTATGAGGAGCTGAATGCTGTGATGGCCACGGAACCAGGTGAAAGAACAAACTGGTCTTCGACACGGGGCAGTTAAGACAGTGGCCCAAAAGGAGAGGCTGCGGATTCAGAGTGTTGCAGAAAACCCAACTTGGTGTGGACGGTGGGCATTTGGTAAGGCCTCTCCCTGCGGCCCACAGCCAGGTTCCAGCCCTGGTGAGTCCAGGGGAACAAGGCGTCTGGCAGCTGCCCCTATTCTACGGCAGGGGCAGAATTCCCCACAGAGTGGTCATGAATCACCTGTGTCAGAATTACCTGGGGGTGTGGGCTTGTTAACAACGCAGATTCCTGGACCCATCCCAGATCGGCTCTATCAAAATTCCTGGGTTTGGGATCCACCAATCTGCATTTCTAACAAGTTTCCTCAGATGACTCTGACGTATACTGATATCTGAAGACCACTACTCAAGATTTTTAACTTGTCTTCCCAGTTAAATTGAACTCCATGTGGAAAAGAACTGTGCCTGAGGCCAGGGATTTGATATTCTGCCTGAGCAGGTACTCGATTCACATTTCAGGGACAGGGAGAGAAAGAAGGCATTATTATTATTTGTCCTTCTCCCCCCACAAAGAGGCAGCCTGTGTGCCTACTTCAGCCGTCTGAACGTGCAGGCGATAAGAAGCCCAGAGAGAGCCAGCTTACGTATTAGGAGGCACATTCAGGCCCCCTGTGGGCGTCAGCCGCCAGAGTGCTTTTCTATGGGAATTGATTTCATTGGGCATCAAGTTAGCGGACACGCTGCCCCTTACTGCCTGGGGGACTCTGCTAGTAGCTATAAACTACCGCCCCTGAGTTTCAGACTCTTCATCAATAAAATAGATACAATAATCTTGTCCAGAGGGTCGTTGTGAAGATAGAAGAGGCAATAAAGGTCAAGATCTAGCAAAGATCCTGGAACTTAACACGTGATCAATAAATATTAGGTTCTGGAAGGTTGTTTACAAATGGGCTTGAGTCCCTGGAAGAGGCTTCAAAGGAGTCTTCCCTGGAGGGCGTGGCAGAACAACGGCCCCCAAGATGTGCACGAGCTAATTCCCATAACCTGTGAGTATGTTCCCTCACTTTGCAGAGATTATGTTGCATCTTGAGCTGGGGAGCGTCTCCTGAATTATCTGGGTGAGCCCAAAGTGACCACAAGGTCCTGGTGAGAGGGAGGCAGGAGGGTCAGAGGCAGAGAGATGTGACTGTGGCTGTACTTCTGGCTTTGAAGACAGAGGACGGGGGCTCTAGGCAGCGAATGTAGGCGGCCGCCAAAGACGAACCCCTCAGAGCCTCCAGAGGGAGCTCGGCACCGCCAACACGGCGGAACCCATTTTGGATTTCTGTCCTCAGAACAAGGTGATACATGTGTGTTACGTTAAGCCATTAACTTCACGGTAACTTGTGACAGCAGCAAGAGAGAACTAACACAAGGAGAAGTTTTGGATTACAGTGATCCCACTCAGCTCAGGATCCTAGTTTTGCTGAATCTGAGACAGTATGTTGATGGAAGACAGGGTTCGGGAAGGGAATGGAAAAGGTGGGATTTAGTTTAACTCAACGATAATCGGGAGCCTACTGTGAGGAAGGAAGGCACTAAGTGCAATGACAGAGAATATAGACGACAGAACGTGGAGAACTGCACAGGACCACGGAGGAGAAGAGAGGAGCTCGGGGAGGGCGTCACCAAGGGCGAGGGACACGTGCTAGGCCTCAAAGGTAGGAATCTAGTGGATAACGTGGTCTGGCAACTGGACGCGCAGCCTCTCCCCTTAAAAAATGCAGAGGGACAGATGAAAACCTAAACAAAACCCTGCAAGACAACGTGGACGGAACACGTCTGGAACCCGAGACAAAGGACCGTGTCCCTTGAGTCAGCTGTATAGCATCAGACATCCGGAACTGGCCTGGGCCTCAGGGAACTGAGCCTCAGAACCAGGGCCGAGGCAGCTCTGAGCCAGTTGGAGGTGGATCTTAATTCCACCGCCACCCCCGCACCTCCCCTTCTTGCTGTGCAAACTTGGGCAAATCACTGTCTCTCTCTGAACGTCCGAATCTTCCAATATCAAATGGACCCAATAACCTCCACCTGAGGGTCAAACATGCTGTCTAAACACTCTCAGAGCCCAGCGCTCAGGAGAGACTCAACCGATGACAGTTCCTACTCTTAATTCCCTGGAGAAGAACCGCTACCCTAGCCGCGGCCCTGGGAAGCCCCGCCAAGCACCATTACTCACCTTGGAAGATCTCCTGCCGGGTGGCTGCCACCTTCTCAGGCTGCTTGGCTGCCGTGATGGGGGTGCTTTCTGCAGGAACAAACATGAATGGTGACCCACAACTCCAGGGAACGGGCCAGGGTAGTGCTGACCACGGTGCTGTTACTCAGGGATTATAACTTCCACCCCGGAGAGTGTGAAGTACAGAGCACGTGAGGAAGAGAGCAGGTGTCTGTGCCTACGTCTTCATTTCCTGCAGCCAGAGGCAGATGGGATAACTCCCTCCGCCCAGCATAGCCCCATCCATCCTGGGCAGGTTTAGTGCCTTTGCAGCCAACGCAGACCCTCCAGCGGAGGCCTGGACCGGAGGGCCTATGAAAGGAGTGCAGCTGTTACTTACCTGTTCTCTGCTCTGCCATGGGTGTGGTGGCCAGGGGCACAGACTTGAGGTCAAAAGGCTTTTCCGATGGTTCTAGAGTGTACTGCTGCAGAGCCCTCTCCAGACCAGGGATGGACACAGTCAGACCTAGAGGCCAGTGGGAGACTGAGGTCCTGGGGTCAAGGTTGTAGGACCTTGAGAAAACCACTTAGGCCTCTGAGGTCCCACTTTCTCACGACATCGTCCTTTGCAGGACTGATGTGGGGAGTAAACGGACATAGGAGAGGGACTTATAAAGGGTAAAGCACTCTGCAAATGGAGGCTCTTATGACTAACTAGTGTTTCAATTCACTGGGCTGTTTCCACCCACAGGGCTGTGAACGCAGGGCCCTGGGTCTCCTGAGATGACAGTGATGCTGTGCAGTTGCCATGAAAGCCCAGCCGAGAGCGTCTTGCCTCCGAATTCCCCTGCCTGGTGAGACTGCAGCTCCGTTACGGGGCTGGGTCAGGGTCAGCCAGGAAAAGACTCACCGTTTAGGATATAGCCTGCATTGAGGGCCTTCTGCTTCTGCTCCAGGACACTGAGATAGAAGGTGGCTCGGTCCCTTACTTCATTGTCATCGTCCATCACACACCTGTGGCCAGAACACAAGGTCCTCCTGACCAGGGTGGCAGGAGGGATGCTGCAGGGCTTCAGCAGAGGTCAGTGAGAGGAAGCAGGTCTCTTAAAGCTCAGTCCTCGGATGTGGACCCAGGCATCAAATGCACAGAAGGGCCCGCGGGACTCTACTTAACTAGGAGGTGGCCGTATTCATACTCCCTGGACCCTCTCCCCAGAGCCCACCCAGTGAGGGAGGCAATCTCCTATATCCACAGCATACATCACAAAAGAATTTAATACGACCCAACAATTCCACTCCTGGGTATACACACAAGAGAGCTGAAAACACGTCATATAAAAAGTCGCACACAACTGTTTACAGCAGCACTAGTCACAACAGCCACGAAGTGGAAACAACCCAGATGCCTATCAACGGATGTACCGACAAACAAAATGTGGTCTATTCATGCAATGGAATATTATCTGCCCGTAAGAAGGAATGAAGTACTGGCACATGCTACAACACGGATGAACCCTGAAAACATCATGAAGAAGCCAGACACATGAAAGGCTACACACTGCATGCCTGAGTTTATATGAGGTGTCCGGAACGGGCAAATCCAGAGCCAGAAGGAAAGCGACTGGCTGACTAGGCCTGGAGGGCTGGGGGGAATTGTGATGACTATTCATCGGTACACTGTTTCTTTTGGGGGTGCTAAAAATGTTCTCGGGGCTTCCCCAGCGGTCCAGTGGTTAGGACTCTGCACTTTCACTGCAGGGGGCACAGGTTCCATCCCTGGTTGGGAACTAAGATCCCACAAGCCACGCGACATGGCCAAAAAAAAAAAAAAAAAAAGTTTTCAACTTAGACTGTGGCAATCGTTATGCAACCCTGAATGTACTAAAACCATCGTATTATACATTTTAAATGGGTACATCGTATGGGTCTCGAATTATATCTCAATAAAGCTGTTTTTTAAAATAGAAAACACCTCAAATTAACGCCTAGGTGGAGGGATTTTTGCATGACATTAGTTTTCATGCTTTTCTTCTTTTTTTTAATTAATTAATTTAGGCTGTTCAGGGTCTTAGTTGCTGCATGCAGGATGTAGCTCCCCGACCTGGGATAGAACCTGGGCCCCTTGCATTGGGAGGGCAGAGTCTTACCCACTGGACCCCCAGGGAAGTCCCATACTTTTCTGTGTTTCCATTTTTTCCTACAATCAATAGTTGTGTATCTTTTCTCCCCTTTTTCAATTAAAAAGAGACAAAGGACAGCCGCCTGGGCCCAAGGGAACACTGTTGTCCACCAGGCCCGTGGCCTGGACTCACCTCTTCAGCAACACCAAGATACTGGGCAGCATCTCTTCATTCTGCGCTCCGAACTTGGCCAGAGCACTGACAGCGCCTGTGTTTATGAAGGAAATACGATTTACTGCCAGGGCTCAGAACGGGCCATCCAGAGCCAAGCAGCCCCGACCCAGCAGGCCCAACCCGACACCATGAAACAAGGAGCCTCGGTCACGTGGGCACCACCCGGCCTCAACTCCTCGCCTCTCACAGGGAAGGCAGCCCTGTTCTTGGGTCCCAGGAGTCCTTTTCAGTATTAACTAAGAAGATGCCACGAGAGCTGCCCTCAACTTCTGTATCCAAATGGCCTCAGCTCACAGTGAAGCAGTACACGACCATAAACAAGAGAACAAACTACTACTGAATGAGTAACAACTGCTGAAAGAGGAACATCTGTCCAGAGAGGGCTTGAGAAAAAAAGAGCAATAAATGAAAAGTAAAATTAAGAATATGATGTTTGCAAATTGAATTGCACACTCATTTAAAAGAGTTTTATCGTATGTGAATTATATCTCAACAAAGCTATTACTAAAAATAAAAAACTAAACACCAAGAAGAAAGAAAGAAAGGAGGAAAGAAAGGAAAAAGGGAGCGAGAAAGAGAGAAAGAAAGTTAAACGACAACATATAGTGACACTTAAAAACAAAAAAATCACTAAGGCGAATTAGAGGTTAAGAACCATTCACCTAGATGACGCCCAAACATCTAAGGTCCTTGCTACAAGATTATAGAACACTGAGCTTGTGAGGCAACAACACCAGGTGCCTGTGTCCCCCCGGGGGCTCAGGGCCCTTTGCTGGGGGGTCTACTGCAGGGCAAGCCCGGGGCCCAGGGGCAGCCCTGCTGACCCACCTGCCCGGACCTCCTCATGCTCCAGGACCACTCGGTTGTAGATGAAGCGGATGTACTTGGAGGGGTTGTTGGTCTTGGGCCCCTCCTGGCCCAGGAGGTGCAGGATGCGCGTGGCCAGCACGGTGAATTCGCAGTCCTCGATGAACTCGCACAGGTGCGACAGCCCCGTCTCCTTGCTCTCCGAGTTCTCCTCAATGATGCTGATGATACAGTCCACAATGGCCCGCTTGTACTCAAAGCCGCCCTGCAGCACAAGGGGCGAGCTGAGTGCCGAGGCTGCTCTCTCCAGAGCCTAACCGGGACCCGGCACAGCGGTCCAGGCACTGAACCTGGTGATGAGGGCCTGGCTCTCCCGGCCTCTACCTCCCTTTTGTGTAAAACAAAAGGCTCGGGCTGAATGCTCGCTGGGGCCCTGCTGGTTCTAAGAGTAGATGGCTTAAGAGAAATATTTGGGACTTCATTTTCTTTCCAAGTTTGAGATAAAGGCAGAATGGGTGATGTGGATGCTGGAGGAGTGGGGTGCTAGTGTTTAATGGGAACAGAGTTCAGTTGTGCAGTATGAAAACGTTCTGGAGGTTAACTGCACGCCAGCGTGAATGTACTTCACAATACTGAACTCTACACTTAAAGACAGATAATAGAATTCTATGTCGTGGGTATTTTATGAGAGTTTAAAAAAAGGCAGAATAGGGCAGTAGAGAGACAAAAGATCCCGGGTCAAATCTATGCTCTGCCACTTACAGACTTTAATAACAGAAGTGGCAAGTGAGATACTCGCTAGGTGCCCGGCCGTAACCCGGCAATGCGCAGCACACGGGATGGGATGCTGGCGCATGCATAGTGCCCATCCCATCTAAAGAGCGAAATCACCACGCAGCCTAGCGTTGCCAGGTCTTAGAAGTTTTTAAAGAGAAACTGGAAATCTATCGAGGTGGTTTTCCTGATTTTTAAATAACGGCTACTAATTCAAAATGTGTAAAACTCTGCACAACCCAAGTAGAATTTGTCTGTGGGTCAAATCTGGCCCCTGTTCTCAGATTAGCTTGTTTTACGGCCGTGATAAGTCACTCTCTTTGTCTGAGCCTCAGGCACCTTCATAACAAGGAACATTAGCGTACTGACCTCATGGGTTATTGTGAAGAATAAATACGCTCTGTGAATTACACACGCGCCTTACATTTCAATAAGGCTGTTCGGTCAGCAGGTGCCCTAGCTATGATACCGGTTCTGCAGCCCGCCCACCGACTGGGCACTGACAGGTTCAGAGTAACTGCAGGGCTTTGCCTGCAGCAGCTCATGGCTGACACACCCTGGGCTGAGGGACAGACCCTTTTCTAGCAGACAGGGTCTCGGTGTCTGAGTGCTGTGTTCTAATGAGTGAAGCTCTCACGCTGTCTTCCATGGAGCCACACGTTGTCCTGGGAGGCAGGGAGGTCCAGGAGAAAACCACGGGCTCTGGAGCCAGACACTTACTGACCAGGTGGCCACAGGCAGGTGGTCTCAGATCCCTGATTTTTAAAGGGAGAAAATAACGTCTACGACAGGCCTGTTATGAGGATCACAAGATGGTTTATGCTGTGTGGTGTCTCCACTGTGCTGGGCCGTCAGCTGAAGGCACCCTAAGCCCTGCTCCCTTCTCATATTCCTGGGAACCCCAAAGGCACCCAAGGCAACGGTTCCTCTACTGCCTTGGTCCAAGGGCCCATCTGGGGCTGGGGCAAAGGGCCACCAAATATCTGGGGACCAAATCTACTGCATGAACACTCTGCTTCTGCACCTCTGAACGGACCAGTTTTGTTGAGACAACCAAGAAAGGTGGCCCACGTGAATCACTAATTCACGTCAGGAACAAAAAGAGAACCAATGTCACATTGTTAGCCTCAGTTTCCCAAGAAACCACCCTGGAGCTCCTGGAACGGCTGGAATATTTCTACACGAGATGACACCAGACAGAACTCAGTTTCTCATCTTCTACACAAGCATCACCTTGGGGCATCTGCTGGGTCTTTAGAGCACGGGTAGCGTGCCATTAGGGTTATCAGTGTGATCACAGTGATTGGTGCATGTTTACACTGTCAGCCCATGAGGAGTTTCAAGGGCCGCGGGCACCAGGAAAGCAGCTGGTCAGCAGGTGGACTGGGTACACCCGAGAACTAGTTGGGTGTGGAGCCAGCGGCCAGGCCACCACCTGCACAGGACACCTGGCGCCCGAGCGCCCTGCTCTTACCTCCTCACGCAGCATGGAGAACAGGAAGCTCATGAGCACGGCGTGCTTGCGAGGGTACTTCTGACACAGTGCGCTGATGGCCTGGACCACCACCACCTGGGCCAAACAGACATGCGTGAGCAGCGGCCCTGCCACCTGGTGGTTACTTCATGCACCCAGTGCCAGCGGAGTCTTTCCTCAGGCAGGGCCGGGCCCTGGGAGCAACAGGCCAAGATGCGAGGGGAGCCCCACCTCCACCCTCGGGGGGCCCGCAGCCCTGAGCCCCCCAGACAGGGAGGCATGCACAGCAGTCCCGAGGCCCAGATCCAGACTCTGGGTCCCTCTACTCAAGACTTCAAGGAAAGTCCACCAGCCCCTCCATCCCGCCTGTCCTGCTTCTCCCCTCCCCCACCATTCCCACCCCTGAGCCTTCCAGCTCAGCCTGCCCCTTGGGGTGCTCTGGCCCCAGCCCTCTTCTCTTCTCAGTCTCTTTGGCAATCTCATCTCCTCCCGTGGTTTTAACCACCTCTTCTATGCCCCCAACGCGCAAATCTTTGTCTCTGGTCTGAGTTCAAGAGCAGTGCTTCCAAATGTCTACCACACAACTGCACCTGGTGCCCACGGACACCTCAAACTTGGCCGCAATCACCACCATTACCCCCGCTTCCCTCCTCTCCGCCCTGACCGTCTCCCTCCTTCCCCAAACGCAGCCACAGCACCGTGAACCCGAACTAGAACATGGACTCACCTCTGAGGACGTTCACGCCCTCAGCTGTCACATGGCGCCCCGACATCTGGCTCTGTTTCCCAGGCGCTCTGAGACCAGCCCCCCTCCCGTTTCCCGGGCCTGTGGGGGGCCTTCGCCTCTCTGCCCAGCTCCCACAACCAAGCCTCCGTCCAGTTCACCCTCCAGCAGCTTGGGAAGGATCTCTCTACATGCAAGTCTCGCTGTGTCATTCCACAGTCTACAAAGTGTTCCTACAACCCACAGGCAGAGCTTATTCCGCCTACCTTGTGTCATTCCTGCTACAGAACTCACCATGCTCTATCACAGTCATTCACATTGCCGTCTGTCTGCCTCCTGCCCTGATTAAAGCTCTCCAAAAACACGCTAGCGTTTATGTTAACTGTTGTGAAATAACGCTGTTACAGAAGTTGAGAACAGCGTGTAGAGAGGGGAGGAGGGGATGGGTGCAGCTATGCAGGGAACACCAGGGAGTCTCCTGGTGGTGGTGCAGTTGAGCATCCAGTATCTTAACGTAGTTTCACACACACACACACACACACGTGTAACTGGTGAGCAAACTGCGGCCTGTGCCCGTGCTGTGACACTGTCCTGTGGCCCTGCGGGTGCTGGAGGACGAGGCAGCTGGGGCAGGGGAGCACTGGAATTCTCAGTATATTTCTTTACAACCTTCTGTGAATTGTTTGAAAATAAATGTTTAGAGAACACTACAGAAAACGCTTTAGCAGCTTCCTTAAAACCACAGCTCTTTATCACGAACCCCCGGGTCTCACACGGTCTCGCCTCCACCTGCTCCGACTTCATGGCCTCCACTGGCCGCGAAGCCCCCAACCTGGCACTTCAGCCCCTTCCTCTTGTTCCCAACACACTTGCTTCTGCCTTTTCTCCCGTGTCTTCCCAGGTACCTCCCCTGGGCGGCTCCTCCTGGGAACCTCTACCCTGTGGGGTTTCCTCCCTGCACTAGTGTGTGAAATTACCGTGTCCCACCTTGTTGACTGTCCACCTCCCCTCCTCAGCAAGCAAGCTCCACGAACACAGGACAGGTCTGTCCACTGCTCTGTTCCCCTTTCTCCAAACTCTGCCCAGCACATGGCAAGCGCACAGGAAACACTGAAGAACTTGACAAGCTGGCCTGGAGGCTCCTGGCCTCGCTGGACAAAAGCTGGGTGCAGCACCGCGTGCGCCTCTGCCATCCCTCCGCCCCACCAGCCCCCCAGAACCTCTGCCCCGGCTCGGGGCGGGGACGCGGCAGGCGGGGACTATGGACCTTGAACTCGTCCGAGATCTCTGACATGAAGGAGGAGATCTGCTTCATGAGGCGGTCGATGCTGCCCTCGCTGCCCGTCTTGAGGAGGGTGGTGATGGCCAGCGTGGCGATGCTGCGGTTCGAGTCTGTAACCAGGTTCTCCAGGTCCAGGTTACAAGCTGTCACCGCAGATGGATGCTTCATGGCCACCTGTTTTGATTCGGGAGGAAAGACATGAGGACAGGGACGGGGTACAGCAGGTCCCCCACCGTTCCGCTGGTCCTTCGGGTGAGCTCAGGTCACTGCCGGAGGACAGAGGCGGACCAGGGCTGCACCTCCCGCAGGGCGGGGGCCAGGAGACTCCCCCCGCCCCACTCCACCCACTCCGAATTCACCTTGTTGAGGGTGCGGACGGCGGCATAACGGAGCGCAGCCTTGGGGGAGCTGCAGAAGAGCTGGAGCACTGTGGGGAGACAGATACGGGTGCTGGGCTGCCGGGAAGCCCAGGGGCCCCCACGAGGGGCAGGGACAGGGCACAGCGGCGGGGCACACATGCAAGGGCTCTGAGGCTGCGTCCAGCTGTCTCCCTGCTGGTGCCACCACCCCAACCAAGGAGACAGCCGTCCTCCCCGTGGGCACCTGAGCCTCGCACGGACCCGTGGGCACGCTTGCAACCGCCCAGCGGTTCACATGCGGGAGCCTACGGTGCCGGGCAGAGGGCTGAGAACTGCCTGCCGTGTCCCCGCGAGTCCCCACACGCCTGCAAAGCAGCTCCCGTATCTCCCCATTTCACAGACACAGAGGCCAAGGCACAAAGGGGCAGAGCAACTGAAGGAACGAGGCCAGCAGCCAGGAAGTGGCAGAACCAGGACTGACATCCGGGGCTGCCTGCCCCGGGGCCCGAGCCATTGCCCTACCCAGGGTCGCGGCAGAGCACTGGCCGCCCCAGCCTGCGCCTTGGCCTCAGGAAGCTCAGGCTCCGGGTGCACTCGCTGGAGCGGCAAACATGACTGCTGTTTTCTGCGGTGTCTACGCTCCTCTCCTCATAACTTGGCTTCCATTCTCTTATACTTTTTCAGCACTTATTTACGGTTTTCTTAAACAACCCTTATTTTAAAAGCGCTCTCTGTTTGACTTTCGTTATTCTGGAACATGAGTAATATAACAAGAAAGAACAAACATTCAAACCAGGGAATGAATTTAGTTCTTTTGCTTCTGTCGCCAAGGAGGAGGAGAGACTTCTCTCTGCAAATGTGAACCCCATCTCTCTGCCTGACAGGTTTGCAACCTTATTCTGGAGAACATGAGAAAAGCAGGAGGGCCAACCATTCCTCAGCCTCTGCAGCTGGAACTCTCTGGCAGAACATCATGGCTTCCATTACTAGGCCTGTCCTTCTGGGACGCTTGCCCCTTCCCTCCTGCTCCAATTCCCACTTCTCAATGCACCCACCTTCCAGGACCGAACACTTAGCCCACCGTCACGTGCCTGCTACCCCGACATGTAGTGAGATCTCAACGCTCAGGACAGGGGCCCGCAAGATCAAGGCACTGATCACTCAGCAGCTGGCCCGACAGCAGCGGGAGCCCAGCGGATTCTGCTGCACGACCACCCGGAGCGCAGGTGCCGCGTGCACCACGCTGCCAGTGTAACGGCACGATTGCTATCCTTCCCGCAGAGAGGACAGCTGGCTCGCCCAGGCTCGCGCAGCTGCCCCGCCACAGAGCCAGGACTGCAACCCACGCTCCTGTCCAGACTCTGCCCAAGCCCCCTTTCTCCTCCCCGAGATGGCCCGGGCCCTGGCTTCATAAATGCGGGCTTCCTCCGCCGGGCCCTCCTGCCACGGCAGCCACCCGCAGGCGGCAGAGCGCCTCTGAACCTCGCCTCCGCCACCCGCCAGAGCCCAGGTGAGAGGCCCTGGCCCGGCAGGGAGCAGGCGCTGCCTGGGGACTGATGCCCTCTCTTAAGCATAGCCTGTGGCCCACCTGAGGGCATTTCCTTTCTTTCCCGTGCCCCCTGGCCCAGGGCCCAGCTCCTGGCAGGCACAGCCACGCGGGGCTTGGGTGGGGAGCGCCCGGTCACCTGACACGGCCGGGGCCAGCTCCGTGGCACTGCAGCCCGGCAGGCTGACGATGGCCGAGGCGGCTTCGTATACCACCATCTCGTGCTTGTTGCGCAAGCAGCTCTCGATGAAGTCGAACAGCGGGCTGTCGCGGCTGCGGGACAACAGGCGGCAAGAGGACGCTGGGGGTCCCGCCCGGGAGACGGGCAAGGCCTCGCGTGGCATGAGGGGGGACACAGTGCCACTACCTGCCGTCCTCCTCCTCCAGCTGCCGGCTGGCCACGCGGATCATCATGCAGTAGGCGAAGGGGGACTTGAGGCCGTGCCGCGTGAACTTGCTGATCATCTTGCTGACGGCCAGGCGGTCGTTCTTCCGCACGTGGTACAGGAGCCCCAGCGCGTGGTACTAGAGAGCGGGAAAGGGCAGCAGAGCACGGGCGTGTGAGGCCGGGCCCCCTGGCCGTGGGGTTCTGGAGGTCACAGTCCCTCTGGGCTCCGGCCTCCTCGTCTCTGGGATGGGCATTGTGGTCGCTTCCTCCAGAGCCTGGGTGCGACCGTGCCCAACAAGCCACCTGGGTGTCTGCGGTCCTCATCCGTCCCCAATTTCAGCAAGGGCCTCGACGGGCAGCGTGAGTGCAGGTGTGGAGGGGACAACAGGTGCCACAGATGGAAGAACAGGAGGAGACCAGGTGTCTCTGACCAGATAGAGAAAGCGGGAGCCAGGCCTCGAGGGGGACACGTGTCGTAAGGTGCTGTGCAGACCTTACGTGTGACACCGTGTGACAGTACTTCTGCCCCCACTGCCCAGCCCAAGGACTCGTGGCTGCTGCTGGCAAGGCTAGGTCTGCAGAGGGAAGGCACACGGAGTTACCTCCTGTCCCCTCTGCTCTTTCCTAATTCCTTACCAGGGTGACACTCAAGGGCCTTCTAGGTGGGAAGCTTCTCTGACCCTGGGAAGGGTTTGAGGGGCCACAGCTGGTCCTGGAGACGAGACCCAGCACAAAGGGCACAGAGGGAGGGAACAGATGCCCATACAGGGAGGCTGCAGGTAGGCAGATGGGCAGAGGCTACAGAGGCTCTCATTTGATCCTCACAGTTTTGTGAGGCAAGGACTTTCTTTCCTGTTTTACAGACAAGGAAACTGAGACTCATGGAAATAAAGGGATTCCTGGCTGAAGTCACTGAGGAAGAGATCAGCACATGAAAGCCCCACCAGGATGCTTCCGTGCATCACTAACAAAGCCAGCTGGGCCAGGTCAGCTGTGTCGCATACCCCAAAACAACACTCTGGTTATCAAAATACTCGATATTTCGGTACCAGCTAGTAACATCTCCAACCCAACTCCCCCTGCAAGTGGTGCCCTGGATTCTTTCCCCAAACCCCCCAAGTCTCCCCACAATGACAAAACGATTAAAGCCTGCTCCAGCCAGGGGCCGCCAGGATCTCCGTGGTAAGAGTCCATGCTGTCTGGCCAGGACGGTGCCACCAGCCTAAGTATCTTCAACATCACTGCTTTGCTCACCTGGACCATGATGTTATCACTGGATGCTGCCTCCTGGGCCTCATTCACCCAGCGCTTGACCACGTCGAAGCTGCACTTGAGCAGGTGCTGTGGGGCACAGGGCGCATTGAGGGGTGGGCAGGCAGGATGCTCTGCCATCACACCTCCCGGTCTGGCCACAGTTCAGCTGGCTCTGGGTCTTCCCTCAGACACAGCCCAGGGCCCCTCTGTCGTCCGGGTCCTCTGAGAAGTGCACAGACTCGGGACAGCTCCCACCCTCACTCTCCCTGCCCTGGCAAACGTCCTGCCAGGCTCAAATTCCAAAAATCTGTCACCCCAAAGGATGGGTCAAGGCTGTCCAACTGGCCCCTCAATTAACCCAGAGTTCCCCGGGAGCTCTTCACTGAGAAGGGGGTGGGACTCTCAGATCTGGGGATACAAAGCTTTTCTTTTCTTTTGGAAAGCAACTTTGATGTTTCTTCAGTCTCCCAATCCAGCGCCCACCCCCAGCCCCTGCTGAGGCTACACACCAGGGAAGACACCAGAGCAGAGCTGGAGACGCTGGGCACCTTGTCCACGATGGCCTGCTTCATGTAGCGCTCGATAGCCTGTAGCATGGTGCTCTGTGGGGACAAGGGGTGGGTGGGAGGGGGCCCGGTCAGTCCCTGCCGCCCTCAGGAGTGCAGGAGACAGGGTGTGGAGAAGGGACGGCCAGGAGGGAGGAAGCAGGCTCATGTCCTGCGTCCCCGCACCCCTCCCAGGAGCCGGGAGACGAGCAAGAGCACGTGAAGGGTGAGACCCCACAGCGACCAAGCTGGCCAAGGGGGACTCACGTCAGTGATCTGGCAGAGGGCGCGCACAGCCGGGCCCCGGTAGCTGTCTTCCTTCCCAGTCATGTCCTTTGTCAAGCTGCAGGGACAAGGCGATGGCCTCACGCAGGGGCCGGGCCTGCCCCCCCGGCCCTGCCCTGCCCACCCCAGGTCACCACGCCAGTCTCCTAATGGGCGTCCTCCCTGTGCTCTTAACCCTTCCCCACCAAACACCACACAGCAGCCAGAGGGTTTTTCATAAAACTGAAAACTGACCAGGTCACTCCCCTGCTCTGACTGAAACCTTCCAGAGGCTTCCTGCTGCCATCCCCATCAGCCCCTCACAGAGACGTCCCCAAACAGGCCGTGCTCTCCACCCCAGGCCCTGGCACCTGCATCCCCTCAGCCGAGCGCACTGCCCCCCTCATCTCCACCTCTGTCCTGCTACTTCTCACTCAGCCCTCAGGACTCCACTCAGACAGTTCCAGGAGGCCTTTCCTGACCCAAATTCAAGTTGGCTGTCCTCCTGATCTGCTCTCAGAGCCATCACACTTCCCTAATGCCTGTCTGCTGGGTTACTTCTTGGTAAATTCTGGGGCTGCAGAGGCCATGCCTGTCGTGTTTGCTGCTCTATTCCCAGAGTTACATGGGGGCTGACAGACGATAAATATTGTCTAAATGAACCTACACATGAATGTATAACGTCCCCCCCGAAACTGTGGCAAGAAGCAATAAAAGAACTGAGCCCAGGGATTATATTTCAGTCCACTCTGTCCCCTGAATCCCTCAGCCTAACACTTAGTGAGCAAAGCAGTCCTTAGTGAGTGAGTCTGCCTGTGCTCCCCGTGTATATATACCCCTACGTGTATCCTCCCTGGGCTTTCTCTTGGTACTCGCTAGAGTCTTTGTGAAACTTCCGGCTGCCTCAGTTGACTGAGAGGAATCAAGGGAAGGAAGGCTCTGTGCCTAAGTTCAGGCCAGAGAATTAAAAGGGAAACCGCCCACCCTGGAGGCTGCCACTGGTGGGCAGGGTAACTGAAGGACGAGGGAGACAGGAGAGCAAAGGAGAAAAGGGCACGGGCGGGCTTCCCTGGTGGCGCAGTGGTTGAGAATCTGCCTGCCTATGCAGGGGACACGGGTTCGAGCCCTGGTCTGGGAAGATCCCACATGCCGTGGAGCAACTAGGCCCGTGAGCCACAGCTACTGAGCCTGCGCGTCTGTCGCCTGTGCTCCGCAACAAGAGAGGCCGCGATAGTGAGAGGCCCACGCACCTTGATGAAAAGTGGCCCCCGCTTGCCGCAACTAGAGAAAGCCCTCACACAGAAACAAAGACCCAAACACAGCCAAAAGTGAAAGAAATGAAAGAAAAGAAGGAAGGAAGGAAGAAATGAGTTAAAAATTTAAAAAAAAAAAAAAAAAAAAA